GCCGGTTCAGCCCCCCCACCATGTCTGGAGTGGGGGGGGATGGGGGGACCTCAGACTTGGGGTCTGCACTTGCCCTGCCAGGCTGTGCAGAGCCCCTTTGCTCTTGGGGGGGCGTTCAGTCCTGCAGCCCCCACCCCCCAATACCTCCCCCAGGGGGTGGGAGCCCCCCCAGAACATGGCCGTGGGGCAGTTGCACCCCCCCTGCCCATGGTTGATCTCCCAGCACTGACTGTGGGGCAGCTGGAAGTTTTGGGCCTGGGGTGGACACTGGCACCCCCAGTCCCGTTTTTTTTGGGGGGACACGACAATTCGCCCCCCCCACCAGGCTGGGTTGGGGGTCTGATGTCCCCGTCCTGGGGACATGTCAGGAGCTTTGCTGGGCTCTGTCCCTGGGGACAAGGGGAGGTTTGGGGTCCATCAGTACCCCCCTGGTTTCTGTCTGTCCTGTCTCCCCAGCACAGGGAGGTGTGAGTGACAGGTGGAGGTGACAGGCTGGGGGGGATGCTGGGTGCCCTGACCCCCCCATTGTGTGCAGGAGGAGCTCAGCAGCACCAGCGTGGAGCACCTCATCATCAACCCCAATGCTGCCTACGAGAAGTTCAGGGACAAGAGCCTGGGCTCCAAGGGAGGGGGTGAGCTAGGGGTGGGGTTGGGGGGCTGGGGCTGTGGGGACCCCCCAGGGGTCACTAAGCTGACCCCAGGCCAGAGGCTGTTTCGGGGTGACACTTTGTTCCTCCTCATCCAGATTTCTCTGATCGTCTCGGCAAGCCCAGGAGAACAGGCCATGAGTCCGGGGAGTACGAGATGGTGGGTGAGCCCCTGCAAGGTCCCTTGTCCTCTCCCTCCCCGTGGTGATACCCCCTGCCCAGGGCCACCAACACCACAGAGTCACAGGAGGGTGGAGGTGGGAAGGAACCTCTGGAGGTCATTGGTCCAACCCTCCTGCTCCAGCAGGGCCACCTAGAGCTGGTTGCCTAGGGCCACGTCCAGATGGATTCTGAGGATCTGCAGGGATGGATGTCCCAGCATCTTGGTGCTCAGTTCTGGGTCCTCAGGACAAGAAGGACATTGAGGGGTTGGAGAAAGGCAACCAAGCTGGGGAAGGGTCTGAAGAACAAGGAGAAGGGGCTGGAGCACCAGGAAAAGGGGCTGGAGAAGTTGTGAGGAGCAGCTGAGGGAGCTGGGGGTGTTGAGCCTGGAGCAAAGGAGGCTGAGGGGAGACCTGCTGGCTCTGCAGCTGCTGAGAGGAGGTTGGAGCCAGGGGGGGTCGGGCTCTGCTCCCCAGGAACAAGGGACAGGAGCAGCTTCATGATCACAGGCCCTGGTCCTCATGGGGAACTTCAGCCAGCCCAGCATCTATGGAGGGACAACACAGCAAAGCACCAGCAGTCCAGGAGATTCCTGGAATGTGTTGGTGACAATTTCCTCTTCCAAGTGGTGAAGCAAGCAATGGGAAAAGGTGCTGGGATGGACCTTGTCCTCACCACCAAGGATGAGATGGTGGGTGACGTGGAATGGAACAGGAGACTTGGGGTGGTGGGATGGTTGGAACAAAGCCCTGGAGGGGACCCAGGAAAGCTGGTCCATATTCAAGAGTCTCCTCCTCCACGCCCAGGAGCAACATGTTCCAGTGAAGAGGAAGGACAATGAGAACAGCAGGAGGCCACCATGGATGGGCAGGGAGCACCTGTCCACACTTGGGTGCAAAAAGGAGGGTGGGAGCAGGGGCAGGTGACCTGGAAGGAGAAGAGAGAAGTTGTCCAAGTAGGCAGGGAGCAGGTCAGGAGCACTGAAGCCCTGATGGGACATCAAGAGTGACAAGGAAAGCTACAGGTGCCATGGTGACAAGAAGACTTCAGACAACATGGATCCTCTCCAGAAGGAAACTGGAGACCTGGTCATGCAGGACATGGAGAAGGTTGAGGTGTTTGGTGATGGTTTTGCCTCAGTCTCCACCACCCAGATCACTGAAGGCAGAGGCAGGGACTGGGAGAAGGAAGAACCACCCATGGTGGGGGAAGAGCAGGTTTGAACCATCTAGAGAACCTGAAGGTGCACAGGTCCATGGGACATGACAGGATCCATCCATGGGTCCTGAGGGAACTGGTGGATCAACTTGCAAAGCCACTTCCCACCATGTGGAGAAGTTATGGCAGTGGTGAAGGTCCCACTGGCTGGAAGAAGGAACCATCACCCCCATGTTCAACCAGGGAGAGGAAGAAGATGTGGGGAGCTCTAAGCCAGTCAGTCCCACCTCTGCAGCTGGCAAGGTCCTGGAGGAGACCCTCCTGAAGACTCTGCTGGGCACATGGAAAGTGTAGAGGTCATTGCTAGTGACCAGCACAGCTTCACCAAGGGCAGACCATGAGCTTGGTGGCCTTCTGGGATGGGGTTACGGTGTTGGGGGACAAGAACAACTGGTGTCATCTTCCTGGATCTGTGCCAAATGTTGGACACTGTCCCACCCAACATCCTGGTCTCCAGGTTGGAGAGACGTGGACTCAAGGGGTGGAGCACTGGGGGGACAAGGAGCTGGCTGGCTGGTGGCACTTGAAGACTGTGGTCAATGCATTGGTGTCCAGGTGGAGCCAGGGCTGGGTGATGCCCACAGGGACCGGCACCCTTGGCCACTTTGTGGGTGACGTGGGTGCTGGGATCCATGTGCCCTCAGCATGGTTGTTGTGCCACCAAACTGTGTGAGGTGACAGGCTCGAGGACACCCAGGGGGGCCTGGACAGGCTGGAGAGGTGGGTCCATGCCAACCAACCTGGTGAAGTTCAGCCAGGCCATGGGTGGGGACAATCCCAGGCACAAACCCAGGAGAAGGGATGGAGAGGAGCCCTGAGCAGAAGACCCTGGGGGAGATGGGTGAGGAGCAGCTCAACGTGATCCATCAAAGCCACCCGAGTCCTGGGCTGTGTCACCAGCAGGGGGGGGATTGTCCCCCTCTGAGACTCCCCCCTGTGCAGTGCTGGTCCAGCTCTGGGGTCCTGACAAAGAGAAGGACATGGAGCTGTTGGAGAGAGTCCAGAGGAGGCCACGGGGACGACGTGTAGATGTTCTGGAGGGGATCCCTGGACACTGCTGGAAAGCTGAGGTTGCTTAGCCTGGAGAGGGCTCCAGGAGACCTTCAGTACCTGAAGTACCCTCAGATACCTCCAGCAGGTTTCTCCAGGATGGACTCTGCTGAGGATATGGAGTGGAGGGATGGGGTGGGGGGGGTGGATTTTGGGGTGAAAAATGAGGGGTTTGGGGGGAGACCCTGGGAGTCATGGAGATGATCCTTAGGCTGGAGCAGCTCTGCTCTGGAGCCAGGCTGGGAGAGTTGGGGTGTCCTGCCTGGAGAGGAGAAGGCTCCAGGGAGACCTTAGAGCAGCTTCCAGTGCCTGAAGGGGCTCCAGGAAAGCTGGGGAGGGACTTGGGCCAAGGGCAGGAGGGATGGGCTGAGGGGGAAGGGCTTGAAACTGGAACTGGGGAGCTGAGGAGGAACTTGTTGGCTGGGAGGGTGGGGAGAGCCTGGGCCAGGGAAGCTGTGGCTGCCCCATCCCTGGGGGTGTTGAAGGGCAGGTTGGCTGGGGCTTGGAGCAGCCTGGGCTGGTGGGAGGTGTCCCTGTCTGTGCAGAGGGGTTGGATCTAGATGGTCTTCAAGGTCCCTCCAACCCAAACCGTTTGGTGACTCTGTGACCCTTGAACATCAACCAATTTTCTTGGCCCCCCTCTTCCCTCCACTGTCGGATCCCAAGGGACTCCTCTAAGCAGAGCTTTGAAGATCCAAGATCTGTCCAGGTCTATGAGCCCCCTCCTCACCATCCTGAGCTCCACCAGATCTTGGTGGCTTCTGCTCTGTCTGCCTTTGACCTCCACGTCCCCAGCCAGCCCCTCTGTGATAGATATGAGCTCCAGCAGAGCCCCTCTCCTTGACTCCTCTGTCACCTGGAGGATGACACAGTCATCGATGTGCTTGGCAACCTCCTGAGCTGGGCTGTCCCTCCAGGAGGTCCCTTGAGAGTCCCCCTGGGGACCAGCACCCAACGTGGGGCTGTTCCTGCCTTTTGAGGGTCTCACCCCCATGTTCTCCCTGGTCACCTCCTTTTCTCCCCTTTTGGTGTGATGGTCACTTTGGGACACTTGTGTGCCCAGTGCTCTCAGGGGACACTTTGGGGTCCCCTCCTCACCCCCCCATGTCACCCCCCTGCAGCTTGGTGAGGGACTGGGGACCAAGGAGACCCCCCAGCAGCGATACCAGCGGCTGCAGCACGAGGTGCAGGAGCTGCTGAAGGATGTGGAGCAGATGCAGGTGAGTGTGTGTCCCACCTGGGGGGGACTGAGGGTCCCGGAGGTCGGGGGAGGTGTCAGTGCAGCTGCCTGTGTCCGCAGAGCTCGGCGCGGGAGGCGGAGGAGGAGCTGACGGCCATGGGGCAGGCGCGGC